ACACTGCTTCACCGTGCATGTCACCTCTCCCCACAGCATCTTGTTCAGGTGTATCACACACAGAGTTATGTCAGGCTGGTGATGAAAACACTGCTTCACCGTGCATGTCATCTCCCCCCACAGCATCTTGTTCAGGTGTATCACACCCAGATCTAGAGTTGTGTCAGGCTGGTGATGAAAACACTGCTTCACCGTGCATGTCATCTCCCCCCACAGCATCTTGTTCAGGTGTATCACACACAGAGTTGTGTCAGGCTGGTGATGAAAACACTGCTTCACCGTGCATGTCATCTCCCCCCACAGCATCTTGTTCAGGTGTATCACACCCAGATCTAGAGTTGTGTCAGGCTGGTGATGAAAACACTGCTTCACCGTGCATGTCACCTCCCCCCACAGCATCTTGTTCAGGTGTATCACACACAGAGTTGTGTCAGGCTGGTGATGAAAACACTGCTTCACCGTGCATGTCACCTCCCCCCACAGCATCTTGTTCAGGTGTATCACACACAGAGTTGTTTCAGGCTAGTGATGAAAACACTGCTTCAACGTGCATGTCACTTCCCCCTACAGCATCTCGCTGCACCTCTTGCTATTGTCTTCTTACAAAGGTGGACATATTTATCCTCAAGTTTCTCTTTTTGTGTTGTGTCAAGCTGATGTGTAGAGAGGTCAGATTCTTCTTGCGATCTATGCTGATGAATCTATTTTAGCAGATAAGCGTGTTGGCATTTCCACTGTTTGTTTAGCGCTGCCATTTTTTCATTACCTACTTTTAGGGAAACCTTCTTTCATAGAGATGCATTTTGGGATTTCACAATGTTTCAAAGTCATATTAAACAAAGAGGAAATCCAAATATGCTTGTCTGCTACAAATAGTAGCCGGCTGGAACACACCAAATATGACCAATGGCTAATGATCCTTAACAATTTCCAAAAGTATTTAGAAGTCAATTAATACCCTTAAGTCACTTACTGATTCAAATGACATGGAACATACTATTTTAATCTTATTTGTACAGTTAAGGACCATTCATGCATGATGGGGATGGGAGGCAGTCTAATGATTAAACTGTATGTTCTTTATGCCCAAAGCCTGGATTCAGTTCTCCACAAGGATCCAGTGTAGGAAGACCTTTATTGGTGCTTCCTTGTGTCTAATTGATTTGCCTGGAATAATTCTACAAGCAACAGAACACCTTACTCACACTCATTCACTCTTCTATGCACAAGAAACAGATGGACTATTTACTCCTATCAGTAAGAAGTGCGACTTGCATTCATGGACAAGCAGAATACATTGTGGGGCTGGCTATTCCTTCCTATCAACATTAGGAGAAACGAGCCCACTATTTAAACAGTTCTTGAACTCTGGTATTCTGTAGAGTTCCAGCCCATCTGCCAAAGTGTTTGGGTAATTGAAATTGATCTTCTATTATTTTCTCCTTTAATGAGTCGCTGCCTGCAACTGTAACAGCCAATCAATTTTCAATCATCTTACCGATGCTGTAACACAATTTTAACGGAGGTAAAACACCTTTGTAATGGCAAATGTTCTTCAGATCAATGAAAAAGTAACAAGTTCCATGACCAACAGATATTAGAAAACCAATATTTGTATGATTTCTTCTCAGAATGGTGCATTTGTAGCTGCCTAATTTGTAATTAGTGTCTGAAAATGAGCCCAGGTTGTATTGACATACACTATTGGCTAAACTGGAATAACATGATGGGGACTTGGCTTCCTTTCTGCAACACTTAGGAACCAGAGAATGGTGTGTCTGTGCTCAGGTTCAGACCAAGATAAATTGCAGTTAACAGGATCACAGCCAAGAGGAGGCTGCTGTGGTAGCCAAGTGGTTAAAGTGATCACTCGTCATCCCGAAGGACTGGGTTCGATTTCCCACACAGGAACAGTGTGTGAAGCCAATTTCTGATGTCTTGTGTCATGATACTGCTGGAATCTTGCTAAAAGCTTAGAATGTTGTTGAGGAAAGATTCTATGCAGAAACCCAAATTTAAAATTTTCAATCTTTTTCAAATTTAATTTTCTTTTCTCAGTAAATATTAATTGATTGAAATTCACAGATCAGTGTGAAATAAACATATCTGTTAACCACTACAATACAATCCTTGAACTTTGCATTTTATGTAAGCAGGAACTATGTATTGTTTCTATAAGGGTGAAATTAACTCTTTATTATGTCATATATACTAAAACACCAGAAGTTGAGATATTGCTAATTTTGTGTAAAATCGAATAATTCTGTTGAGAAGCATCATACATTGCATCCTTAATGCTGTAGTAGCAATATTTCATTTCCATAATGGTGGATTGTAAATAATAAAGTATGGGCAAGACAAACCAATGATTGATATGAACATCTCACGCCATCATGGTACAATCACATGCAATCAAGCAAACCACTTAGTCGGAATATGTGCAGCTTAACACAAATTACCTATATTTTCTTGAACCTCACTGTTTGTGCTTCATCAATAAGACACAGACATGTACATACAGGTACTTCAAACCATTCCAATCCACTATCACAGCAATTACAATGATCAGTTCTTGTTGTGCAGTGTGCCACCAAGTATACAGCAAATTACTCAATATTTATATCTCTGTTCTTCTAAATAATTCATGACTTGATGCATTTGGCGACATGACACTACAAGGAGGTCACATGATCCTGTGATCCAGAGGAAGTGACGAACTAGACAGGTGAATTGGTCAGATTCCCTGGACAGAGTAGGAGAAGGGGTAGTGTGCTGCCTCGTGGTCTCAGTGTCAGGGTACAAGGTCATCTTGGGTCACTGAGTATCTGTCATGAAAGGTAGGACCAGGTGAAACAACATTCACCTAAATTTCTTACTGATTTTATCTGTTTCATAAACATTTTACTCAACTTTACATCAACTACACAACAAATAGCACATCTTCAAACCTGAATTTCATTAAAAAAATATTTTTAGAATAAAATAGATGAAAAGAAGCATATTTTAAAAAGGTTCATTTAAAGGAAAAATTACAATAATTACAAAAAAATGTTTTCAAAGACCAGGTGTTAGTCTATAAGAATGTATACACTATGATCTAGAGCGTTAGTATACACCAGGAAATTGAGATATTCACTGTAATCAGGATATACGACAGTATGCAATCCTTCATTCTACATTTACATCTCAACACAATCTGAAGGATTGTTCTGATACCAAACCTCACAAGGAACAGGATGTAAGTGGAGCCGTATCACCAACCTGAACATGCCTCTGTTAGCCCTGCTATCATATCACTCCCTCACATTAATCAGCCACTGATTAACCTTACATCCTGGCCAAGTCAAATCCATCCCAGAGGCGGAATTAACATCATATTATTATGAATCCTTATGACAAGAAAAGTATACCCAGGTATTTGTTTGTTGAAATACTTGTGTATGGTGAAGTGATCAAGCCCTGTCCACCCAACACACATTCTAAAAGTGAGTCACACCACCCCCAGGGTCTGCCTCCGCATCTTATCACATGCATTGAATAAACACTGATTGATAAGTCCATGGATGCATGATAATTTTATCCCAATAATAGACAAGACCAAATAAGTGGACAGTATTTAATTATGCCAGTCTTTTAAAGGGACATCTTGTTATTATTATATATATATAATCAAGGAATTATTATCAATAATAACAATCAATGTCTTAGAGACTTGTGCAAGTCTAATGGATGCAGTAGAAGTTGGTTTTCCCTATTACCTACAAGATCCCCTCTGAGGCAGATACAGCAACACAAGGCGGGATCCCTACCGATAACAAGGTGGGATCGCACTGTCCAGTTGTGCTATTCATTATCTCAAAGGCAACTGACGACACAAGCTGTGCATCTGTTGGAGATGTCTGTATCGTGTCCGCTGCAGCAGCCCTCCAGTCATGCTTCCACATAACACCTTACACCTATAGGCAGCTCCTACCATAAACTAAGGCCACACTTGGAGTGTACTGTTTACGGAATGTTTACCTCCCTATGAGATTGGGTTGGTAATTATAAGAATGAGAACACATTTGTGTAGCTCAGTGAATTATAATATCATTACAAATATTATACTTGTTTGGGTTGATCAGCTAAGTGAGAAATATTCAACTGTATATTTATTTTAGTGTTGCCTAATGTTTTTACTTCCTTTACAGGTATAATATGCTGAAGAGTTGAGTGTGTATTGTAGGGATTTAATTTTCAGTTAGTGAACACCGTGATAACTACACAGTCAAATTAAATTACATTTCATGTCTCAGGACCACACGGACCTGGTGTCAGTGTGGTATCCACCTATTATTTTTAATCTTTGGAAATTCCACAAAACAATGGTCTGCATGCACATAAATGATAATTTACTTATGTGTTCTGAATTCCAAGTTTTGTTTGTTTGTTGTTTAAAGCAGCACAACAACATTACAGCTATACCACAGTGAAATATGAATAACCAAGTCTAGATTACATAATTCAGTGATTGATATTATGAGCAACGAACCAATCCCTCTGGGTATGATGACATGCAATCAACCAAATCACCAAACCTGACCACCCGATCCATTAAGTCGTTTCTTCGACAAGCATAGTTTGCTGGGAACAATTCTAACACAGAATCCCCCATTGTCATGAATTCCATGTAAGTGTAGTCCAACAAAAAAAATCAAGGTTTACTGATTGTAAATATTCACGACAGACCAAACAATGCGCGGAAGAGGATCTTGACACTATTCAGAATTCTGTTGTCATAATAATTGTAAAACAATGCAGATTATGACAGCATTATCAAAACCACTGGGACAGCTCAAATTCACTGAGAAATCATCTACATAATATTATATATAGCTAGGTCATACAATTCAATTAGGAATCTAGGGAGTGCAACGCAAAAGCCCTTTCATCAAGTTTATTATTAGCAGTGTAAGAAAGCCTTTCAAAAGATATTCATGTATATGGTTGGTACTTTTCAGGAGGGGACATCATCACCAACTAATGGTCCTCCAGGGAGAGCCTACTCGTTTTGTGAATTCTAAGTGAAGAGAAGATCCAAGCTGACAAGGTGGCTATGTATTGTTCAGTGTGACTAATCACTCCCCCAGGAGGCTGGTAATCAGGAGAGACTACCTCCAGTCCACACGTGTCTCTCAGTTTAACATGTGATGATAGGAACAGAGACTGTGGAAGGAAGGTCATCCTCAAAGTGTGCAGTCATGGAGAGTGACTTGTAGTCATCTGGGTGTGTTGACAGTGTGTTGTGTGTCATGGAGAGTGACTTGTAGTCATCTGGGTGTGTTGACAGTGTGTTGTCAACAGAATTGTGTCACAGAAGGAACTGCACATATTGTCAACTACATTGAGGATAGAGGAGTTACCTTCTTATTGTCAACAGGATTGTGTCAGATACGTCATCTGCACATGTATTGTCAACAATATAAGTGATAGAGGAGTTACCTGCTTATTGTCAACAAGAGTGTGTCAAATACGTCATCTGCACATGTACTGTTAACAATATTAGTGATAGAGGAGTTGCCTGCTTATTGTCAACAGGATCGATTATGTCAGATGAGTAGTGTCTGCATGAGGGTAGAGCTGCTTCTTATCATCAGATGACAAGGTACCTGACATACGGCCTGGCTACATAGCCTGCTGGAGATGACCCTCTACACTGTACAGGGGACAACTCTGTTGTAGTCAACAACTCTGTCTGAAGTCAACAAGTCATCATATCCCCGCCCACAAGACTGGTAGTGAAGAAGTACTGAGTCAGGTGCAGATGCACAGTCCTATTGTATCCCCAGCCCACAAGCCTGGTAGTCAACAAGGCCTGTGTTTGAATCTTAAAGGTACAGGTCATATTGTGTCGCAGCCAGCAGTCCAGTGATCGAGGTGCAGAGGTACCTGACACATGCTGTATCCCTAGCCAACAACAATGGTGTCAGGGGAGGGGTCTGCCATATGGTGAGTTGGCAACAATACTGGTGTCGGAAGTGTACAGATTATTTGGTGTCTGATATGTACAGCTGATATTGATTGAAGATAAGTAAAGCAGATATAGGAGTAAAAAATCCATAGGTAAAACTAGTGCGACATGTGTACAGACTGTGGGATGTCAGCTAGTGTTTGTGTTTTTAGTGTGGTGAACCCTGGCTACAACAACAGTGGAATACATGCAGTCAGAGAATCACCATCCCTGGTGGCAGTGTAATACATTTCGGTGAACCACATGTGCCACAAGGACTGAAGCTACTATTGTTATCAAAATATCAAAGCTACTATTTATATCAGAGGATTAAAGGTACTATTTGTTTCAGGAGATTGAAACTACTATTGGTGTCTGAGGATTGAAGCTATCATTTGTTTCAGGAGATCGAAGCTACTATTGGTGTTGGAAGATTGAAACCACTACTTGTTCAGGAGATTGAAGCTACTATTGGTGTCTGAGGATTGAAACCACTACTTGTTCAGGAGATTGAAGCTACTATTAGTGTCTGAGGATTGAAACCACTATTTGTTCAGGAGATTGAAGCTACTATTGGTTTCTTTGAGCTACCTGTGATTATTGTCAGATATTGTGGAACTAATATTGCATTCTACTTAGTGAAACTACTGGAATACCAACAGTCAAACAACATACTATTCAGAGTCAGATGTGAACATGTCAGATTGCCTGAAGCGCAACAAAAATGTAAACCTACATTGTTTCAATGTAATCAACAGCTGAACAACCCACTCAGTGTTTGTGCCTTGCTAAATAAATTCTGTATCAGCTCACAATGATGGAGCTCCCAGGGTTAGCAGCCACCAGTTAATGTAAATCTACTTGTGGTGTTTAATCTATCAACACATTGGAATAAACACAAGGCACTTTGTTCCATATGGATTAATTCTGGATCACAGATGTAGAAGTTGTGATTGTATATCACTCTATCAAATATATCTGCACAGGGAAAGTACAATGGCTGCAACACACCAGCGACCAAACATCACAACTGGAGGAAAATTCCCAAGCTGGTCCTCAACAAGAAAAGCTTAGTGATTGTGAACATTCTGGGATATCTCATTGCCAGCTTATTGACAGCTCGGACAGGCAAACAGGCCTCTGAGGAGGAACAAGAGGAACACATGTAACTTTCTATATCAAGTTGTAATCACAGTCTGTCCAGGTCCTGCTCACCCAGGGTCAGTCCCACCATCCGACTACTGTATGCTTGGAGTCACAAAATAATACTATTTCTGTTGCTCCTAAATAACTCACACTGTTAAATTATATGATAATACAATGCATACTATGCCATACTGATACCCTAAGGAATACTGAAGCCAATATCATTTTCAAATATCTGACATGTTATTGCCATTTGAAGAATACATATTCATGAGTAAACTTTGAAACAAGTATATTTTTTTTTTGATATTCAATTCCCATGTGTTTATAAACCAGAATGCTATTTGCACAATTTACATTTTGATTAAGCAATGCTGTCGTTCAAGCTGGTTTGAAGAGAAAGGTTAGTTTTTCCATCTGTTTCGAACTGTGTTTTAAACGGACAACGCTATCACGTCTTGTGGGACGCATGACAGATCACAAAGGGTATGTTGATTTTGTAAAGTTCAGACTTATTTAGAGAACAAGTCATCAGATTGATAACCTCCAATGAAGTTAAGAAGCTAAGGCAGCCCACACCACAAGGATAAAGACACAGAGTCTGAAATTTGACAAACTGCAGCTGCATTGCAAGCCAACATCATTCCTTGGGGACCATAAAAACAGAGTGGCATCTTGGATTTCTGACATGATTTTGAAAAGTCCAGGATTATTCATGGTGAAAAATATGGACAGTTAACACTGAAAAATTGTTGTCAGATGTGAATCTCAAGAGAATTGCAAATTACAATTACTGCGATATTGCCCAACTAGTCATCAAACAGGATATGGTAGGTGATAAAAAGCCTTGGGACAAATCTGCAAGTATCACACATTTCATAATGCATTACAGCCATTTTGTCACTTTACACTTAGTGGTGTCGCAGTGTTTCCTCACAGTGCTGCAATAGTGATCTGTCTACCCTGCACGGCAGAGGAAGTGGCTCCATTTAACCCATGCCGGCCATGCACCAGCATGTAGGTGAACTGTGAATGGGAGATTGTGACATTGGAATCTTCTGTCCATAGCTTGAATTTCGTCTATGTCTTGCACAGTCTAGAAGCTGTGTGGAGGAACTGCCCAAGAAGCACCATTAAGACAAATCAATGAGAAATCCTTCTGGATCATGCCTATTGTGACCACAGTGGGGTGGACAGGAGGGTAACACTGAGAAAAAACCATAACAAATGACACGGGGCCAAGACAGAGAAGCTCATTGCAATCAGTACCTACATTCCATCTGATTCCAATAAAGCTGAGAGCAGGTATCCGCATTTGAAACATGAACTTAAAGTGTCAGATTTACATAGAAAGTATCATGATGATTCTATTGAGTATTGAGAAAATCAATGGTGGATCCCACAAGGTGCAGCTCAGCGCACCCCAGAATGAGACGTTCCTCGTCTATTTCAATCCACCAGTGATCAATAATCTGAAAGTGAATTCACGACAGAGCGTCTATTTCAACTGCTCTCCGCTCGAGCCTGGCTCTGGTAGCCAGGAAAATATCACTTCTTATGCATTTGTGATAATCTCGGACAATGACAATATAGCCCGGCCAGTGGTGGACAGTCTGTATGACAAGTCGGTGGATATGGAGCAGGAGGAAAGATACGCTGTCATGTCCGTGGAAGCTGACCGAGAACATAACTTCACCATAGAGGCTATGCATGTTGGGCGTGTGACGATGTCTGTCGCGATGCTCAACACGTATCACAACAGCATGGATGTACCAGAGGCCCACTATGTCCAAGCCATCAGTGTCTCCGTCAAACGTGAACAACGTCTTGCCGATATTGTGTTTAATAGCTCGGCTGCTGCTGTGGCCATCCTTATAAGTTTTGGCATAGGCTGTGTGACTGATACAGAGAGCCTGAAGAGACAGCTGAAATACCCTGTGTCCCTCGTCATAGGCTTCTGTTGCCAGTTCATCCTCATGCCTGTTGTAAGTATTACCTCTGATACTCACTCCATAAAGATGCCTACGTCCTGTCTAGCTCAACAATCTACTCATAAATTATGTAAGACTAGAAACCATTATGAAAGGCATCAAATATTGCTGCAAAACTTACAATAACCAGTAATATCCATGGTTTCAGATCTGCTCATTTTTTAGGACATATTCTCATCTAAAATTCCTTCAGATATATTTCAAATTTGGTTATAATGTAAACAAAAGTCCCAGCAAAAGTTGATAAAATTATGAGAATATCCTGATACCATTTATCTCTAGCAAAAAGTAAATATATTTTATGTAACATGATTATAATTTGTTTCTATTTTACAATTGTTAATTGTTTATGAATGTGTCATGTGTTTAAACTGGTGACATTAGCTTGTACGCAAATCAGTGTTTCAGAGTTTAAACTTCCTTATTATCATGATGATGACATAACTAGACTTGCATGGTAACAGTCTCCTGTAAAGGCTAACAACAAGACACTAACTAGTTCCTGCACAGCGTTTTACAGCAAAAATATTCATAATAATTCCACACTGGCTATTTGCATTTGGTTTGACCTATCTTTACCATTGTACTCGACAGGTCATACAAGTTACACAGTTCTTTCATCCACATGCAGGGCCCCTTCCTGCTCTGTCAAGAGCCCTGCCTCTGTATAATGATACAAACTACACAGGCCACTGCCTCTGTATAACAATAATCAATTCAAAGAACATCAATACACATTTCCATACTATCTATCCCATGTTAATTGTTAACCGCTTTTCCCCATTACCACGTAAACCATACCTATTGAAATGCAGGATAATTTAAGTAAATGTTTCGACATCCTAGCAAAGACTGCACGACTGATTCAAAATAGCACAACATTTGCCGCATTGTCAAGTAATGTAGAACTAAATTCAGGAAGCTTGTCCATGAATGTATGATATCTGTAACATTCCACTGTGTGTAATAATGCACTGACAAAAAGGCCTCCACAATAGAATCTTTTCCCCCTTCCTTCACACCAGCTCTTGCTTCAAACCATGGCATTCACTGATCAACTAAACACAACACACAACTCCACAAACTAATACATGCCTGGAATTAGTAATCGAATGTGGCTCATGAAAGGAGTAGGTTTTGGGACATTCTACTGTATCTTCACAAGGAATGTTTACCTCGAGTACACATGGCTTTAGCTGGACACCATATGAACATGAATAACACCGTGGATAATCAGGCCTTGGTATCGATGTGGGGTTGGGCTGATACTGACGCAGGCACCAATCATCGCCTCTAGCTTTCTTAACGTGTTGTCCGATACTGTAACACGGCCTTGCAACAAATGCCACTTGAATTAGATATGAAATATGGTTCTCATGATAAACAGACCAGGAACAAACATGTGTCAGGTAGGGCTGGCTATTGATATAGATCATAGAGATCGATGATCGCTTAATAAATGGCGATCAATCGATAAATATCGGAGAAGTCTCTTCAAGCAAATATGCAAGACAGACTTGAATGAAATCTACATATTTCACACCACTGGTGAGCAATGACACATTTATGCATGGATTATTTTGTGGACAATTGACATGAGTGACATTAACAAGTCTGTTTCGGTAAATCTAAACTTTTTTACATCACAATAGTTTGTAAGTTATTATATTATGATCAATGACAACAATTTCACATCAATAATCGTTAATATTTCTTCCGTTCGGTGATAATTCTGATTATCAATTTTTATAGCCAGCCCTTACATAAGTATTGGGCACAAATTACATGTTGTATTCAAAATTAACCAACAGCACATATATCTACGGACCCCAAAATGTTGTATAGAATTCAATATATATTAGATTTGTTGAAACTAATGTTTCACAGTTGAATGAGCATTGCTGGCAGATAAATCAAGCCCATATTCACTGCTATGATCAACTTGATAGCCAAAGTAGAAATTAGAATTACCGAAATAAAACAAGACCAGGTGACAGTCTCATGATATGGAGGGTCATGTTTCCTTATCTATGTGGTATTCTTAGATTCATCCATCTGACACAGTCTCAATGGCAGTTCCTTAAATAGCATGTTCAATTATAACCAGAATAATCAAGTGATGACATGTTGTGGTCAATACCCCTACTAAGAAGTTGTCTGCTCTGTGACGTCAGTAGAATGGAGATTCTGTGTCTAAAATGGTAGACATTCAGTCCAGATAGCAGCTCGTTGGGTATTTCAAGGCCCATCATCAGTGTTGTGTTTAAGCATCTCAAGCTAAGGAGGCTAGAAAGAGAATTGACAGGCTAAAATGGGAGAGTTCCACCAAGACAGCACCTCTAGTGTTTGTTACAAATCACTGAAAGGGAATTTATGTCCAAAATCATTTTATGTTTTAAAGTGGACTGTTGTAGCCTTTCAGCCTATCTTAAACTTTCACCATTGACCAAATTAAGGTGTGTATAATGATGACGGTCTGTAAATAATCGACTCTGGACCAGAAAATCCAGTGATTGACATCATGAGTATCAATCTCAGCAGTTGGGATCGATGACATGCATCAACCAAGTCAGCGAGCCTGACCACCCGATCCCGTTAGTCGCCGACAAGCATGGTCGTCTCTTACGGCAAGCATAGGTTGCTGAAGAGTAGAGGATGCATGTTTCAAGTTTTCAACCCCTCCCTGGGTAGTAACCATTTCATGATCATATTCTGTGACAGGGGCATGAGTAGCAATGTGGTCTAAGATACAACTTGCACTGTGTGGTTGCTTCCCTTAGTTGTACCAGGATATGCTAGTTGTGGGTTCACCCTGACTATGATCCTTGGTCAACACCACACCTTTACTCCTTGTGACACATGGTAGTATACATGAGAAACCTGCATCACTTCAATCTTGCTTCCAAAATTACATGTGACATGATATGATATGAATCAAACACTCTTTAATGGACTTTGGTTTTAATCAGCTTTCAGAATTTTTTCAGCAACATCACAGCGAGGGACAACAGAAATAGGTGTCACATAATGTACCCGAGTAGGGAATCGAACCCGGGCCTTCAGTGTGATGAGCAAACACTTGAGCCACTCTGCTAGCCCATCGCCCGAATCATTCCATGAAGCTTGTATTGGCCAACCTTAATAATTACACAACACATACCTACACAAGGGCAAGCTAGTTCAATAGTCACTCCAGCCTTGTCAGGTAGCTAATCAATATCTGCTGTGAGGAAAACATCATTTCATAACTGACAAGTAAGTCCTCAACATCTGTTTTAATGCGAGCATCAATAAACTTGTACTGAGAGTATAGTGTATGAGAGTGTGATACTAACTAAATAAAACACACCAGACAAATATGCCATGAATTATTAATAGAAGAATGTGATGGTGCTACTTGTCCATGGTATACAGGGCACGTGACCATGGTGAACGTAAATGTCATCAAGCGTTATAATGAAATGAGATAGCATCAGAATATCAGGGAACCTGTAACCATGGGTACCTGTAAGAATTATGGATCCTTATCACCCATAAGTGGAATACATTGATCTAGATGTTTGGGAGTGATCAAGTGCATAATATTTTGTAATACAGGAGGAGTGACATGAGTGAGTGAGGGAGTATTGTTTTACCCAACTGAACAGGAGCCCTTCCCTCAGCTATTTCTTTTTAGTACTGGCGCCACAATGAAAATAACACCAGAAATATGTGATGCCAAATTAATGTATGTTGTCACAACATCCCTATGCCCATTCAAATTGCACAATAACAGTCAATAGACCATGATTGCTCTCATTTATCTCTCTACATAAAGAATCAATAAAACCTGCGGCTGCTATCTATCAAAATTATGTAAAATGCAAAAATACAAGTGGTATATGTGCCACTGCACTTTTAATGTTTCGTTAGTGGGTGGAGATCAGTAAATGTGCTTGGCACTGGCATAAATGGCTGCCACTGAAGCAGCATGTGTCTTGCGGTGTGTGATGTGCGGTGCAGCATGGCATGGCGTAGCGTGGCGTGGCGTGGCGTGGCGTGGCGTGGTGTGAGTGAATGAGTGAGTGAATTTGCTTAAATATATCAGTTACATCACAGTGTATCAACATAAAATGAGTGGAAAACTTAAACACTCACTCTAGTGAAACATATAAGCATGTGTGGTGCTGACAGGCAAATCTTGATCTAAATGACAGCGGATTCTGACATGGCTAAGGGATGCAACTGTGCACTACAAACTGTGACACCTAAGGGCAGTGCACCACCTTCCTTGCACTGGAGAGAGACACTGGCAGTTGTTGTATAGATTGAACCCCCAAACACCTTAACATACTTACAGATAGGATATCCAAAACACAAACACTGTTTTTTAAAATAAACTAACATTAACGAAAGTGCAATTTCACTCAATTTGAATTACTTTTAACTGTCCAATTCCAACTGTCAGCAATTTGATTACAACAGCCGTGTGTCTGAGCTCTCTCTACAGGAGAGGCTGACATGTATACAACCGCCACACAGTGGTGCTTTACTCCCCTTCTTTAACCATATCAGAGACCAACAAATTATTTTTACCCTGAAAGTTGGAGGCCTTCAAACTTGTGTTATTCTAAATCCAGTCCCATAATAATTGAGAACTTTTGCTGAAATGAACAAATTGCTTAAAGCGTCACTCAGCAGTATTCCAGCTGTATGATGGCGGCCTGAAAATATCATGCATGGACCAGACCAACCAGTGATTGATATTATGAGCAACATCCAATACATAGGGGTATAATGACACACAATTAATCAAGTCACCGCGTCTGACCATTCAATGGATCAAGTCACCTAAGACTTAATGACAAGGATAACCATTTCCAGCAACACTCAATCAACGATAGAAACTGGCACTAGCCCTATAGTTTAAGGTGTCATAAGGACTCATATAAGTTTGCCATGTTTAAGAGTTTTGCTATATGTTATCATTATAAGAACTAGTAGACTAAAAATGT